GCTTTGCTCTAGCACCTCCAACTATGAACTTATCGATTGCAAACTTATTGCTTGTAGAACTTTAGACAAAGAATTGATGTTCGCGTTTTTTTTTTCATGAATTTGAGCTTGTGCAAATACTAGCATGTTACACCCTTGTTCCGCAAATAATGGAAGGACTTAATTTGAGCATTGTGGAGATTTCTTGCAATAACATATTCCTTAAGTGAAGTATCTTGCTACCTGGGGATCTTAGGCCTGCAATCTCGATAGACTGAGGAATTTATTGAAATTTGATAACTTTTAGAAAGATCAAGAAAAGCGCTTTCTAATAATGCAAGAAAAATCTTATAGGTGGATTAGAACAGCAGCTCCAAACATAAGGCAAAAAATCGGACAGAACTTATTGTTAGACAACAGCCTAATACAAAGTGTCCCAAAAAATGTATCGAAAGTTTAATCTCCAATAACTTCCTCATCTGGAAAGGGTTGGCGGATCTTTGGGGGTCATACGGTAGTGCTAGCTTCAGGTTAGATTTACAGTATAGAGCAAACCTCCTATTTCTCTTAGTTACTGTAGGATTACGGTAGCGACTTTCAATTATTTTAGGCTTGAGAATGGAGAATTGCTTCGAATACCAAAAAAAAACCGAAGGACGTCAAACTAATTTCTCTGATGCTGTATCTAATTACAAAGTTTTCCTCTACCGCGTTTTTCGGCTTCTTGTGCAGTGTAACGCAGAGTTTTTGATTTTTTATTTCAAATTACTAATTCGACGTTGCCTTTGTGAAGCGAAGTTCAGTCGAACCTTAAAAACTACTTCATTCTTTATTGATCGCTTTGATTATTAGTATGATAAATATTGATTTCTGCAGTCAATTTTTGCAGAAGGCTTTTAATTTCGATGTGTTTGTGACGGCAACGTTGATATAATAGATTTTGGAAAAAGTCGAAAACTCTTCGTTACAGTGCGCATGCCATAAGAAGTTGAGAAGTACGGTAACGGAAAACCTTTTAATAGGATTCAGCATCCCCGAAAACCGTAGTTTGACTTCCTTCGGTAGAAGCAATCCTCCTTTCTCAGGCCTAAAATTTGTCGAAAATTCTTACCGTTCCTACAGTAACTAAGAGAAGTCGGTGATTCGCTACACTGTAGATCTGAGTTGAAGCTAGCCACACCATATGACACTCGAAGACCCGCGACTTTCCGGATAAAGAAGTTATCAAAGATCAAACGTTGAAGAGAAACGAGAAACTCTCATGAAAGACAATGCTCCGGTGTTTGTTGGAAAACTCTGCCAGAAGAAAAGATACAAAACAATGGGAAATTGGCATTTTAGAGCAGCAGAACTGTAAAAAGAAGATGACAAGTTTGCCTGATGAACATTTGTCATTCAGCACAGCGAAATGGAAACACACAGTGTAAGAAGGATGTTGTGGGGGCGTGAATCACAAGGAGGTAAAAGAGGGAGGAGTAGAGAAAAAGAAGAAGGCTAAGTGTTGGATGGGAGTCTTTCGGAGATCTCATTCTCGCTTCTAACAATAAGAAGAAGCGGAAGTATTCGAGGTCACCCAAAGAAAATACGCTCCAAAAGATGATAAATGGTGAAGTTATCTAAAAAGGTACAGAAAAAATTGCTCACCAGTCGAATCGTTGTGGAAGTGGCTGTAGGTCCTTCCACATATTCTTTGATAACCAGTGCCGTAGTAACAATACCACAAACGATGCATATTATCATGATCAGCCACCAAAATGCTTTCATTACAGGAGTGTCACTTAACAAAGCCTGAAACTTTTCTTCAGCAAACAGTGAGTTGCTGTATTAAAGTTGAGTACCTGACTGAGTCCATGTATCTCACCGGTCCAAGGTGGCGGGTCATTTACATGACAACTGCATTGCTTCTGGGGATGAGGAAAATGCATATGTACCTGGATAAAAACAAGCTCACAAGAGACCATGAACGTGAAGGTCATACCCACCTGTAGAGTTCGAAGAATCGACGTCATCGTTGGCATTGTTTCAAAAATCAATGGCACATTATAACCTAGCTCTCAGTAAGGACAGAGTGGGTCTAATCGCCAATTCAAGTGGGTAACACGAGAAGCATATGGGGGCATACTGCCATGCTCTTGCATTATATTGAGTGAGAACGTTCTCGAGAGATGTCGATGTTTGGAGGCATTGTTTGCTTTGGAAACTTTATGAGTAGCTTGTTAGCTGCAGTGATCAACACACCAGAGAGTGTCTCAAATGGAACTTTAGAAAACAAAACAGTGGAAACAATGCGGTCTTTATTTATACATAGGGTGAAGAGAAAGTACTGTCTTTCCAATAAGCCTGCCCAAAGTACCTCCCCGGTCAGAAGAATCTGAGAAATTTAATCCCAATATGTAAGCGATACCTTGGCGATTGATTTAACTGAAAAGTATGAAAATTTCTATTTCCATTTGGCCTTTGATTTGAGGCAGCACATAGGACGGTCTTGTTCACGCAAACTTTTCATCGATGTCTTTCAAATCAAGCCCTGGTAGATGATCCTTCTTCGAAAACAATATAGTCATGGATTAAGTTAAAATCTTGGTCAAACAGGAAAAAATACATGTAGACGGATCGCAATGGTACGCAAAAGACGACTAGGTCTTCCCTTGCTGTTATAGCCAATTCCAGTCACTTATTGTCTCAGCTCAAGCAAGAAGTAACGGAAACAACAAACAACGGATACATCATTTTTGGACCAATGATCGATGTCCGAAGTTTCATCTTTACTGAGCAGGGCTCCGCACGAGCCGGCACCAGGGAAGTTTTAGAACGGAGTCCCCTTTGATCTGAAAATGTCGTACGAAGTCCCCTTTGACCTGTTTTGAAGACCCGTCATTATTTCTACATTCTGTAAAAGTATAAAAGAGTTTTCACGCAT